TCATGGTATGTCTAGTTGTACATGTTAAGACTCCTCTTTTAAGTCTTGTTTATTTAAAAACCAGTTAAAAGCCACAGCCACATATAGTTTAATCTATAATTAATATCCTATTAATCCATTGTGATGGAATCAATAATAAATGAAGCAGCAAATGGAGAAAAGATGAAACTGGGGTCCTTGTGCTTTCAAATTGAATTTTGCCCATTAGCGGGAAGTCAGTCAAATTGTAATTTCCAAGCACCGCGTTCCAGTGGGCACTTGCTGGAAAGGACTCACTGCTGGAATGCTCAGGGCAGAGGGAAAGGCTAAAGGACCTCGACTGAATTTAATTTTTTTTCCTGGAGAAGCCCAAGGGTGGGTCTTAGTACAGCCTTCCCCTGCCTAATGAGTGGCTGTAGAAAGCCTGGGGCCAGGCTGTGCCAGAGGCTCACACTTTGGGCACAAGCAGCTGTAGAAATTGCAGTGAAGAATTTGTACCTGTACAAATGAGAAAACTCTTCACTGCTTTAGGGTGTAATTAGTGGAAATGAGTTTCCCAACTGTGTTTGGAAAGCTTCAAAATTTGGAGAGACAAGGCTCTGAGCAACCTGGTCTAACTTGGAAGTTACCCAGCTTTGAGGAGGAGATTGGGCTGGACACTTTCAGAGGTCACTTCCAAACTCAATATCTCTCTAGTTGTGTTTGAAAGAGATAAAAACCTCCATTTTGCTTGACTTGTGGAAAACAATTATTTCAAAAGTGGGCCTGGGAGTGTGCACTGTAGGTGATTAAGTGGCAGTGTGCACATCTTCTGCCAGAAGTGCAAATAAATTAATTGGCTATGAGAGTCATTTTTACTGGAATCAGAGTAAAGTTTGGGAAGCAGATCACAAATAGGTAGGTAAGAGGAATTAGAAAAGGATCAGTTTCAAATCTCCCTTCCATGGAAAGGAGACCATAGCTAGAAGTATAGTGATTTCCATGGTTTTTGGAACATGGTTTTGTACTTCACTGATCAAAATAGCAGAAGGAAGTACAGATAGTACCATCTTAAGGTGCTGTACTGTCAGAGAAAACTGGAAAAGCTGTGTTCGGTGGTGTAGATGTTGAGAATGACCTCTGCTTCTCTTTGTGGGGATTTAACACTGCCCGTGTTCACCTTGAAAGTATTTGAAGTCAAAAATCGACACAAGCAATCTCCCAGATGCTGACTGGGTTCTTTTTCGAGTCTTGGCTTTTTAATGTGAAAAGTTGAAGCTGTCCTTGGCTCTCAGTAAATCAACAAGAGTTCCAAATCAGGCATCTTGTTATTCTTTCAGATCTGTTTAAATCTCAGGGGATCTTTAAGTTAACAGGGTTGAGTATCACAGTCAGTGTGAAGGAATTGAGCTGTGCACTTGTAACTACCCTGACTTCAGGGGTTATCACTGTTCAACCCTTATAATCTATTTGAATGTAAAATCTGGAGGTGCTGATAAAAGAACCTGCTGATCAAAGTGGCATGGCAGCTTCTGTCTGATTTTGGTCTTGGTTCTTAGAAGGCAATTAAACTGGAATAATTCAAAGGCTACTGAAGCACTTGGTGTCACAGCAGGGTTTATGTACAGGGAAGAAATGGAATTCTTCTGCTGTGTTTTGGTTTCCCAGATAAAGACAGGATGAGATTCCTTCTTCCCAATCAGGTGGTATTTTCACACAGGCAGAACTACAAGTGTATCATCAGCTTTTGCCTGCAGTATGGACAGAGCTGCTATGGGGAAATGAGAAAATATTGCAAATACAGATGTGACAAAATTAGACTTCACACATTTTTATCCTGAGACACTTCTCTGGCACCCTGCAAAGTTCCTAAACTCTGTATAAGTCCTGCCTGGATCAGCATCACTGTGTTTGGCTGGGAACTGCAGATATAAATGAGTTATCTGTGGAATAGTTTGAAATTATGTGAAGATTGTTTTCCAGTAGTCAACCCACAATGAGCTTTTTTTCTTTTTTTTAAATTTAAAAAAGCATTATTGATGTAATGAGCTACGTTTTAGCTGTGACACCTCCTCTGTGGGTCATGCAGTGGCTCCATTGTGATGCTCACCTGGACTTGCCATCAAAAAATATACAAAGCAGCTATATTTCTTTGGGATTTTTTGCAAGTGGGTTGTCTAGATGAGTTTCTCCTCCAGCAAGCCATCCTGTGGTAGTGTATTGTGAAACTATTGTAAGCTTTTGAACAGTGAGTAAAACCCAATTCAGCTTGTGGAGGTCTAAATGTTTGATGAGGTCTCTCCCTGTGGGTGTCTCTGTGGTTTTTGTTTAGTTCATTGTATAACTAAAGAATATGCCAAAACCAACTTGATTCTGATCAAATTAGAACATGTTCTGTACTTTGATTTTGGATGTAAATATAATACATTTGCATAACTGCAATTTATTCAGGAATTCTCTTGGTTAGTAGACACTCTTTATTCTGCTTTTTGGCTGAATTCCAACTATAAAAATATCCTTCCATTAAAAAAACTGTTTGCAAATATGAATCAATTGACAGATGTGGTCTTTTGATAATATTCAGGTGTTCATTGCTCTAACCAGACAGGGATTTGTAAGTACATTGTATCTTCCTTACTTACACTGGCCTTTCAGGCATGGGAAATGCAAACTGCACTGGGGATGCCTCTGGGTTTTGGTGTCTGTCAGTTAAAGTTTATTTGGCACGTGGAGAACCTCTGGAGTCCCCTGGCTAGTCAAAGCTCCTGTGTTTGGGGCAGCTTTTTGTGGGTGTTTTTTTCCAGCCTTGAACATTTGAGAGCCCCACATCTGAGCTGTTGCCTTGCTTGCCAGAGGTGCCCACGGGGAGATGATGCTGCAGTAGGGTAAAAGAGGCATCTTTTAATATGTGTGTGCCTACATGGAATATCAAAGGAGCTGCTGAGTATTCCTTTTCTGCCTTTCCATGTTCCTGAAGTTGTGGAGATCCACCTCTTCCCCATCCTCACCTGGTGTGGCACGGGAGGACTGCAGGTCCTCAGTGCTGTGCACTGGGTTGGTTTTTTACCAGGCAATAAGGACTCTAACCAGGGAATTAGCACCTAAAGCCATGTCCAATTCTTCCCATGTTTTTCTTGAGTTGAAATAAATTTGGTCTTACAAGCATTTAAGGTAAATTTGCAGGTATGGAATAGCCTGATGAAATGCATAGGGAAGGTGACTAAACCTGTGTGTGTCAAGCAGATGTTGTTCACTTTCTCACAAGGATTTTTGCTTAATCTTTGGCTGTCTTTGCATACACTTGAGTGTTATTTTTTATTGCTGCTTAAAAGAAATGCTTGAAAAATCATTTTATTAGCGAAACAACCAAGACCCCTTTCCATTGTCACTAAAACGATACAACCACAAAATACTTTCTACTGGAAAAAGCAAGAAATGAGTTGTTACTGAATATGTTAAAAAAAACCCAACCCAGAAATTGGTCCATTTAACTTCCTTGCTGAAATGCTTGTGCAGTTTTTTGGCATAGATTCTGTTCCTAATTTAGTACATTGAGCATGTTTCAGAAATAGGTCGTCTGTTAAATGCGGACACGGTCCATACTCAGAAGTAAGACAGAGAGAAAAGGAAGGTCACTGTCAATTCTTTCTCTTTTTCCTGATCCTTGAATGTGGATTGTAGGGAAAAAGAACCACTGTGGTGCATGTGGCAAGGGACAGAGTGCAAATCAAGTGCTGCCTTTGTTCTATAAACATCCTTAGATTCATTTTAAGATATGAAAGCCAAAACACATGAGGGTTCATTTCTAAGGCTACTCCGCAGCTGAGTGTTCCTGCCAATTCTTACATCACTTTTATGTTTAATATATTTTTCCAGAGAAATGATCACTTTTATTTACAGTCTGTATTTCGCATTCATAGCTCATTTCTTACTCCTTGTTCCAGCATGTGCTTGTTTCCTTTTTGTATGAAACTAGATCTGCCTAGAAGCACTAAAAAGCAAAACAAACCCAAACCCCAACATTTTGTAAGGTTTGTTTCTGGGTATAGTGTTGTTGGAAAGTCCTTTTCATCATGTGGGAGGTGTGTAAATGTCACTGTGGGTTTAGTGCTCAGTGTAGTCTAACAACTTAAGGATGAGGAGGTAGTAAAGTTATTTGAACTGTATTTTTATAGATGCTTTTGTTGAGACAAAATTAAGTTTTTTATTTGCTCAAGATTGAGCAAATTTATTTACTGAGAAGTTAGAAACCAGCCTGTCCTGTTTAATTGGGCTCAATTCTAAATGCTGTGCACAGGGATGTAGAAAGAGGATTATCCTAAGGTACATTCATTGCATTTTATTTTTCAAATTTGTAAACAGTTGCACATTGTTAATTTATTGTTTGTCATTAAATTTAGGCATGTAATCCTTGGTAATACATGAAAATAGACAGTGTACAGAAATTGGGTCTTAAATTCCACTCTGAAAAAAGGTATTTGAATGTAGTGCTAAAGCAGCAGTATACGCTGTAAATGAGCAGAATTGGAATTGATATATGTTTAATTTAATAGGTATTTTAAGAGAAAAGAACCCAAATCTCTTAGACCAGTCTATGAAACTGGTTAGACCTCAAATTGACCAATGTTCATGCTTCTGATTAATTCTGCTATCATGGACCAACTTGCTCATTTGCTGAAGCCTTTCCTTGGCATCATAAAATAATGAGGTTTTGTTTTTAAAATAGCTCTGCTTTGGGGCTACTGCAAGATCAGGATGAACCTCAAGAAATTTAGAGACAATGCACAAACTGCCCTTGTTAGAAAGAAGTGCATTTCCTTGTATTCCCTAACAAAAGTCAGTTGCTAACCTGGGGATCTTTTTCTGGTCACATTCATCTCCCTGTATGATCTTAAAATGAAGATGGTCAAGGGTAATTATAAATATATATAAAATTATAAATTAGCGTAGGTCATAATGTGCAAATTACTCAGAAAGTCTTATATTCTGTAAACAAGTGGCTCATATATTTGTTCTTTTTTTTTTTTCTTTTTATTTTTCAGCTGTACTTTCAGGTTTCCCAGCACAAACATCAAGATAACATTCACAGCTCTGTCCAATGAAAAGAGAGAAAAACAGGAGGCCCCGGAGTCCCCAGTGAAGCCTGTGCAACCCCAGATCTCTCCCTTAACAATAAACATTCCAGACAACATGGCTCACCTGATCAGCCCCCTCCCTTCTCCCACAGGAACTATCAGGTATTTAAACCCTGCAGGTGGGATCCGGCCACGTAGAGTCAGCCTCAGCACAACTTTCTCATTCTGGATTTTGCTTTTGAGGTCAAAATTCAGCTGAAGCTCAGCCTTACCTGCCTCCCTTTCTTCTGACATAGTTGCATGAACATTAACATGTTCAATATATAATATTCTGCTCAAGAGCCTGGGATTTTTCTTGCATTTCAACAATTTAAATTGCTTTTTGCTCTTGCATGCTTATTGCAACGCTTCAAATTAGACAATTTTAAATGACACCATGTTAAAACATCCTAATTTGTCACTGTCCTGGAGTTCACCATCAGCAGAAATGGTGGTTTGGGTTATTATTGGTGTGGAAAATGGACTGATCTCTTACTCCAGAAGATTTATTATTGTTAGTCACTGCTGGAAGGGAGCAGACCTTTTTCTGAAAGCACAGGCTAAGGTGCAGAGCTCGGTGTCAGGATGGCAGATCCAGGATTTTCCCTGCCCTGCTGCTGCTTTGGTAATTCAGCCCTTGTCCCACCTGTTACTTGGGACCAAACTCAATTAAACTCAAGCAACCCACCCTCACAAATTATTTCAGATGAGATTTTTCAAAGTCTTGGAAAGATCAGGAGCAAAACTTCCATGTCAAGGCCCTGAAAGTTGTTTCAGTCATGTACGTGGTTTTGAAAGCTTTTTTGTCCCCTCTCCCTTCCTGTGTCTTCACTTGAGTGAAGGACTGTCCATGCTCACTTTTTAAAAAGGGACAGCTTGTTAATGAGATTTGAATGGAGGGATAATTGACTTCTTGCATCTTTGCCAAGCTCTTGGTCTCTATCTGGGAGTGTTTAATGACACCTGCTTAAATGATGGAAGCAGAGAGAAAAGATACCTAAACTTGGCTGTGTAACAGGTTTGCTTTCTTACAAGAATTCAGGGAAAACACATCTTGCCAATGACAGAGCAGCTCTCAGATATTTCAGATAACATCCCATCTATCACCACTGGCTTTGCCTCACTATGAATTTTGTAATTCTCATCAGGGCTTTCATGCACCTGTTGAGTAGCTTATTACAGAAAAGAAAAAAAGATGACAGTTTGGAGTCTATTTTGAGAGCAAAGCCTGACAGTTTCTCTGCAAATCATCCTGTTTTATAGAAGACTTGTAAACTTGCTTTGATTATACCATATGTGTCTCTTTGTCAATATATGCTGAAGTGAGCAGAGCAGAGGGATGTTGTCAGCTGATACATGCAAACACAGAGCAGGAGTGACCTATATCTAAAAAAATAAATTAGCTACACATTTGGGCTCTAACCAAGGATTCTTCTATACAACACTTAAAAATTGCCATCTCTCTTTTATAGTAAGTATACCACAAGTAAAAAATCAAGGGTGGAATTCTTGGGAAGTGAAGCTTTGATACTCTCAGTATATATTGCCCAATCTATAGTGTTTGTCTCTTTCTGTACATAAAAAAGGAGGTAGCAAAAAACTTGAGGGGCCAGACAGACAAACCTTGACAGATGTAAATTGTTAAAGCTTTAGTGTAGAGATCTAAATAACATTGTCTAGATTTATTTGTTGTTGATGTTTTGAACCATAGATTCAAAGATTAAAGATTATCTTTGGAGATAGGGCTGGTTCTGGGGGCAGAGCCAGGTGCAGGTATTGAGATTTCTAGTTTTTTGGAATTTCTGAGGGCTTCCTTGAAATCAGCTGGAGCATGAATTGCAGAGAGTGTGTCCTTGCAAGAGAGCTGCCAGAATTATTTTGGGGAAGAGGATGGACCTCACCTGCTGACTCTCTTTCCTCTTGGCTGAAAGGAAATCATAGAAGAAAATTGGCATCGTGCAGCTGCAGTTCCTGTGGACTCTGCAAGGCAGGGGACTACTGGTAGAAAGATGTTCCAGTGGAATTATATCCAGTTTTACCTGGTTTTCTGTGATGGATGGCAACATGGGAAGTGTTAGGAGATGCTCTTTTAGTGTTTGGCACCATCTCTTGCTTTCTAACAGTGTATCTGCTCTGTTGGCCCAATACTACATTAAATCAGCTGAGTCAGTGCTGATGCATCCCATTTATAGATAAATTTATGATTTTTATATGCATACCTATGTGTAAGTATGTGCACACACCTGTAAACACTTAAAATAATACTAGTTTCAATTTAAATGAGAATCAAGCCTTTTTTTGCCTCACTGCTTGCTATATTTTCTCGAATGTGCAAACACATTACACAGGAGAGGTGATTTTTTTGGGGGCAGACTGAACACAAGCATATGGCAGAAATTCCATGCAAGATGTGTGTCTTGTTTCCAACGAGTTGCTGAAAATTTGTGGTTGCTGATGCAGTTAAGATGGACTTGAGGTGGCAAATCTTACACAAATAAAGTACAGCCTGCTCAATCAGCTGAGCCTTGTCTGGAGGAGGAAAGCCTGAGTGAGATTTCTTCCTGCAGTGGTTCCGATTCCATGGCTGGCTTAGCAAGGCGTGGAAGGTGGTTTGGAATGGAAGCTCTGCCAGCCCTTTAGCTGCAGCCTCACAGCTCTGGTAGTGGCTTTGCTGCAGTAAGAGCTTTTTGATGAGACATAATGTGGTGATATACTGTATAACAAAATAGTAGGATCTTCTTTTTATGCTCTACAGTGCTGCGAATTCCTGCCCATCGAGCCCCCGCGGCGCCGGCTCTTCAGGGTACAAAATGAGTCGTGGAATAGCGTCTGACCTACATTTGATGGCTGACAATTCACAGTCAGAAAACGACAAGGAAGCTTCAGGGGGAGACAGCCCAAAGGTAAACACAGCTTGAAACCAATGCCAGAAATTACACCTGAACTGAATGGAAGACTTGGAATGTTTTGTTTGTTAAGGTGTATGCACCGAGTGATAATTTAACATGCCAGGCTTTAAAAACAATGTGTAGGGTTTTGTGATCAGATGTGAGATTGATTGATTGACTGATTAACCCCTGTCCCCTTTGGGGGAGGGTCTGTGTGCAGTCTCAGTTATAGATCTGTTTGGAGGCTATTGAAAATTCTTTGCTGTTATATATATCTACAAAATGTATTTTATCCTAAAATTGCTTATCAGAAGAACAAAGCTTTCTTAGTTTCTTTTTTGCCTCAAGATTTTCATTGTCCAAAAGTGCCCTAAGTCAAGTTAATCATGTTTTATGACTTTGATCTAGTAAGCAGTGTGTATATCTTCAAAGTTTGTTGATGCAGACTTTTCTTGTTTCTGTCCAGGATGACTCTAAGCCACCCTACTCCTATGCACAGTTAATAGTCCAAGCAATTACAATGGCCCCGGATAAGCAGCTTACACTAAATGGAATTTATACGCACATAACTAAAAATTATCCCTACTACAGGACAGCAGACAAGGGCTGGCAGGTAATTTTGATTTCTGGAATTTTTTTTTTTTACATGTGAGCAATACTGGCAGCTGTAAATGGTCATGAGCAGGCAGTGGGTAAGCCTCATAACCCTTCAGATATAGAATTTGTCAAATGAGCACATTGTCTTTCTTCTGGTTGTAAGTTTTCCAACAAAGTGGTCAATTTACATCAGTCTGTATTTTAAATACTGCTTTATTGATGGAATGGTGTTCTGTAAACCTCTAGTAGGGATACAGTCAGACTTTGGGGAAAGCAAAGTGCATTTGGCACTGGATTTGAATCCTTTATGCTATCTAGGAAAGGTGTCACGTTCTGTAACTTACGGTTGTGTAAACATCCGTGTTGCTATCTTGAGATAAAATTGAGATATTAAATGCTCCAAATTTAGTTCTGTTTGAAAACAGTGATCTTGCCCATGCAGCTGGTGAAGGAACAAGTGTGTTATCTGTCATTATCTCACCCTGGTTCATGCACTGTTTGATTTGTGAACTTGCCCATTCCTGTACCAAACCTTTCAACTCTGCAGAATTAATTTCTGCTTTCTTTTCGTTTCACAAGAGCAGCCTCAGCTTTTGCCAGGATGACTAACCAGTACAAATCAGTCTGGCAGAGCCTTCCCAGGCACACGTGAAGGCTCTGTGCCTTTGGTGCTGTTTTGGGTGTCTCAGAGGCCAAGGAGCCCAGTTTGCAGGGCCTGGAACACCTGGAGCACATGGTCCATGCTGGGCTATCTGCTCCCTCTGCAGTTATTGTCAGGGAGGTAAAATTTAGGGAGATTGGGTGAGGGGGAAAGTGAGGAAGTGTTAATGTTGGCTGCAGAAGAATACAAGCCTTCCCTGTAGAGGAAGAGATTTTAAAATATTAGTCACATACTTCTTTGTCATACAGCCTAAATGAAAGCTGGGTCACTCTCCCAAGGTTAGTGGGGAACGTGGCTGTCCCTGGCTGTTTGCTAAGGGTTTGGTTAGTCAAGGACTTGGCTGTTGTGGCTGGGAAGTCTCTTTTGTTTCCCTTTCCCACATAACAGTGCAGTATCCTGGCTGCAGTCATGTTGTTTTAGCAACAAGACAGTGTTTATAAAATGTTGATGTGTGTTTTGCTTCCTATTTTGCAGTACCTTGAGTATCTGTGTAGATGATGTTGCTTTGTGAGCATCATGAACCCAACACACACACACACACACACACACAGAGTTATGCTGAGGTACAGAGCTCTGCCATAGAGCAGGCTGTGGATTTGGGGCTGTAATGTTTCCTAAAGCCAAGGTGATAGGCACAGCAGACAGTGTGTTCTGGAGTCATTAATCAGCAGCTATTCATAGAAACAATTGGAAAAGCTGAAAATCAGATGCTCTTCAGTCACTGCTCTGCCAGCTTCTACACATTAGGAGTTGGATTGCAGCTCAGGTGACTTAGGATAGATGTTTTAAATAATATTTGAGTCTATATATATGCATGTCATTAAAAGCATAGAATACAAGCACATGTACAGTGTCCCGCACCTTAAGACAAAGGTATTTATATCCTTTAGCATACAATGGTCTCATATTGATGAGCATTTGAAGGCTCCTCTCTGTTAACTTATTTTAGCAGGTATTTTTGGATCTACTCCTTTATTCTAGCATATGGAGAAAAAAATACAATTTATAAATATGTTCTTGGCATCTTTCTAGTTACGTTTCCATTTTTGGCAGGGAAAAACCATCTCTGGTTTCATCAGTTTGCATTCAAGAAATCATACGTGGTTATCATCACTGCTTTAATTTTTCCAAACTTACCATCAGGGTCACGAACTCAGATATTTGAGCAAGTTTTACATTGGCTTTGCAAATTATTGAGAGCTTTTGTTATCATAAAGTTTTTTCTCATTTACCTCTGTTCCCCCACAAGTATTTCAGGGTGAATCCTTAGCATCAGTGTCTTCCATTCAGTGATAATATTGAGAGAGATTTTGGAGTTTATCTGTGTTAAAAAAATAAAATAAAATGAAATTCTGTGTGCAGAGCTAAGCACAGATAGAGCTACTTGAGGGTGTCAGCAGTTCTGTGCATTGCTCTGATGGAGGAGTGGGGGGATGTTGCAGCAAATTGAGGATGTGGGAAGGTACAAAGGGACTGTGGTGACAAAGATCTGGAAGAGCTGGTTCAGGACCTGCTGCCACTTGGTGTTTTAATTGACACATTAAATTATTGGCTCTGTTATTGAGACAAACTGGACTGTGGGTGAATTCACAGCAATCCAGCTGCCTTGGGAACTTGTATAATTTAGCCTTTTCTTTCTGAACTGTGGGACAGTAACAGAACTACCACGTAGGATCAGAATCAGTATATGCTGTGTTCTGCTGACCCTCCTGGAAGGAGCTGGGACACCTGGGGAAGGGTGGTGTACAAGCACTGGTCATTTTTATTTTTGTTTTTAACACTGCATTCTGCACAAGTATTTGTAGTGTTCTAAACATTGGTTTCAATCACCATGTTTCTCACGAGAGAATGAAATATATGGGATTCCTGTTATTTCCAATTAGAATACTGGGTTTTTAATTGTTGGGAAAGATTTTACAAATGCAAGAGTCCTTTCAGGTTTATGGCACTGCTTGGTAGTGCTCTGAGTTCTGTTAAATTAAGGAATTAAAGAGCTGAACCCCGAGTCTCCTGTAGTACAAATTGCTGCAGTAGGCCACATTCTGACTTGGAAAAGTTATATGAATTCTACATATTTTTTTATGTTCCATAGAATTCAATACGTCACAATCTCTCTCTGAATCGTTATTTCATCAAAGTACCACGTTCCCAGGAAGAACCAGGCAAAGGCTCATTCTGGAGGATAGACCCTGCCTCTGAAAGCAAATTAATAGAGCAGGCTTTTAGGAAAAGGCGGCCTAGGGGAGTACCTTGCTTTAGAACCCCTCTGGGACCACTCTCTTCTAGGTAAGGAAAACCAGATGAACAAAAAGACTATGGCTGTTGTTTAATCTTCAGGCTGCTACAGACTTGATAGCTTCGGATACAGTCACAAGTTTAGTAATTTAATTTCATCCAGACTCAGTGTTTGAATTCTGTGTGTTTCATTAGGAGGCTGCCCCATACACCAGGCTTGTGTTTATTGCTTGTTTTTAGTGTTAAAGAACCTCAGCTTGCATAACTATCAGATTGTTAATGTATGCAAGCCTTGCTGTACCTTTGATGGGTTTTTCAGAATTATAATTTTAATTTCTAACTGCCATCTACTGGATTTTAAAACTGTTCTCAGATACCAGCTACCATTTTATTGACCTTATAGATGACAATTGTGTATTCAGTTTGCTAATGTTCAAGCAGAATTTGTGATGGGGAAATACCTGGGTTTAAATTATTCCCTCTGTAAAGTTATGGCCTTTCTGCTGGTGCAGATCTTTTTCTACTTGCCCTGTAGCCTCAGATTTGCTCATTGTTCTTCTCCACCAGAAGAAATGTTCATGTTTCACAGATTTAGAGTCTCCCTAAGAAGGCATCCAGCCACTTCTTCTCTGTTAACTGTACCTGGAGTTTGCTTTTAAATTCTGTCCCTGTTTAACAGAAGCTTTTTAAAGATCCTGAGCTCTGGGCTGTAGCTGTGCCCTCCCTGCTGCGGGCAGTGTGTTACGCTCTCGTTAGAGGAAGGTCACGGGCTGTCACAGTTCAGAAGTTAAAACACATCAGCTGCTGCTTTCATTTCTAACTGCAGAAGTGCCCCAGCTTCTCCTAATCACTCTGGAGTGTTGTCTGCACACTCCAGCGGCGTCCAGACCCCCGAGAGCCTGTCCAGGGAAGGATCTCCTGTCCCCATGGAGCCCGAGCCCAGCGCCATCCAGCCAAAACTCGCCGTCATCCAAGAAGCGCGATTTGCACAGAGCGCCCCAGGTGAGCGGCCTGAGCCCGGCACTGGGGCTGGACCCCAAAATACTGCCAAGACTTAATGTGTACACCAAAAATGAGTATATATTTCACCTCTTCAGAGCAGATCTATGAGAAACTCGGGAACAGCCAGGGAGGGTCTGCTTGAGCACATAGGGCTGTTGTTACCTGGGGCTGCTCCAGTCACTGTTGCTGAGGAGAGGCTGTGCCTCTGTCCTGTAATAATTCTCTGTTACAGCCTCTGTCCTGTGCTGTCTTGTAACAGTTCTCTTGAAAAAAACCCAAAAGGTAAGGTTGAGTATGTTAGAGAAATAGGGAAAGGCCTTTCACACCTCTGTGGTCATGTCATCCTTCCAGAGTGGTGGCGGATAAAAGAATTGAAAGGATAAAGGGAGATAAGAAATTTCCTATTTAAAACAAAAAGAACATTAAACATGATGGGATAAGGATGTGTTTGTTTCATTACCTCCTTTGATATACATTTGACATCCAGTTTCTTGGTGGAAATGTGGCACTACAGAGGGCAGAGATGGTCCTGAGCATTCCTCAGGATTGCCAGTGCAGCACAGGAGAGCATTCCCAGTGCAGGCATGCTGCACAAACACCTGGAGCACACACGTGTTCCTCTGTGGAAAGGGCTTCACTTCAATAGGTGCTGAGCACAGCTTTGTTTGGGGGCAGAGCTGGGGTGTGTGGGTCTTGCTGAGCCAGTACAGCCCTTACCTTGAGCCTGGAGCTGGGACTAACCACTTACCTAACCTTCACTGTGCTGTATTACCTTTTGGCTCATTCAGGCATTAGTAGTGAAGGATCTTGTTAATTCTCCGAGGTTTTAATGTGAAGTTTAAAAGAACGACTGGCTTAGAAGAAATAATGAAAATTGGCAGTCTAATTTTGACCTCTTTCTTGGTAGGATCACCTCTCTCTAGCCAGCCAGTTTTAATTACTGTACAACGGCAGCTACCACAAGCTATCAAACCCGTCACCTACACTGTTGCAACTCCTGTGACAACATCGACCTCCCAGCAGCCTGTAGTTCAGACAGTCCATGTTGTGCACCAGATCCCAGCTGTGTCAGTCACCAACGTGACTGGATTAGCACCAGCAAACACTTACACTGTCGCGGGACAGGCGGTGGTCACACAAGCTGCTATGGTCACTCAGCCCAAGGTAGAACCTCAAGAGAATGGAGACCACAAGGAAGTCAAAGGTAAGAGCCTGTGGGGTTGTTTTGGCACCTCTTTATGCAGAGGAATCAGTATTTAAAACTTAGAATTGTAGACCCATAGAAGAGTTTGGTTTGGAAGGACCTTAAAGCCCATCTCCTTCCAGCCTCTGCTGTGGGCAGAGATGCCTTCCACTGTCCCAGGTTGCTGCGGGCCTCATTCAGGGAGAGGCATCAATATTTGGAGGGCAATGCTTGAAGTGTTTGGCTAAAACTGAAGATTTCAAATTGTAATTTTGCAGCTGTGTTGGAGCGAGTAATAAAACAACACACTTCCACTGGGGCCTGATTGAGTGAACCCAAATGGTTCCTGAGCACTTCGTTAATTTTAACTGAATTTTCTCTCCTGTTTGCAGTGAAAGTGGAGCCTCTCCCTGCTATTAGCCATGCTGCAATAGGAGCTGCTGGTCGCATCATCCAGACATCGCAGCCCACGCCCTTACAGACAGTTACCATAGTGCAGCAGGCGCCGCTGGGGCAGCACCAGCTGCCCATCAAAGCTGTCACACAGAACGGAACGCACATCGTGCCCCTGAGCGCCGCCGTGGCGGGGCAGGGCAGCGCGGGTACGTCCTGCTCCCGTCCCCTCTGCTCCCCTCCTCTCCTTTCCCCTCCCCTGTGCTCCCC